AGTACACTCATGTCCATAAATTAAGGATAATTCGGAATCACGCGGAAATCGAACTCTAAAATAAAGATATAACCTGTAAAATCACTACACACATCTTCAAGAATCATATGCAAATTTCAGGAAGTAACCAGATGACACCGATGGTACGTCACAATGACGAGAGTATAAGAGAGTGATAATATAAGGAATACAAGCAAAGAAGTAAAATTGTTTGCAGGCACTTTATAAGCATTTCAGGGCAATAAACGAATAGTTATGACACAAAGGACGCATTTGCATGATTTTTTACGTGGTAGAATTATCGGCCGTCTGGAATCTGAGCGTACCCAACTGGAAGTATCAGACGAACTTGGAATTACCCAAGATATTTTAAATTGATATATTAATTAAATTCATATGAGTGTCATCTCTAGGCTTTGGCAACGATTTCAAGATGATGGTAATGTGAGTAGACGTTACAGCACAGGTCGCCCCAGAGTTACAACGCCGAATGACGACCGGTATTTGGCAGTTACTGCCAAAAGAAACAGGCGGAGCACAGTCTCAGACCTGTCTCGTCAGCTCTCTTCAGCCACTGATACGACAATTTCAAGGCAGACCGTGGTACAGACGCTTAGGGCAGATTGGTTTATATGCTCGTAGACCTGTCAGATGCGTTCCACTTACCGCAACTCACTGTCGCCTGCGGCTAGCCTGGAGTAGAGAGCATGCATTGTGGACACCGCAACAGTGGGCTTGTGTGATGTTTTCCGACGAATCCAGATTTATCTTGCAGTCTGATTCTCGCCGGACATTCATATGGAGAGCTCCAGGTACCCGTTACCACCAAGAAAACATCATTGAACGACACTGTTACGGTGGTGCAGGAGTGCTCGTTTGGGGTGGAATTATTCTGGGTTCCAGAACTGACCTGCATGTTCAAATTGGAACCATGACAAGCCAAATCTATCGGGACGTCATTCTGGAACAACATGTACGTTTGTTTTGGGGCGCCGTGGGCGCACAATTTGTGTTTATGGATGACAATGGCCGTGCTCATCGAGCAAACATCGTAAGCGAATGCCTTCAATCGGAGGATATCACCCGTATGAACTGGCCAGCATTCTCACCGGACTTGAATCCAGTAGAGCACGTGTGGGACATGCTTGGCCGACGAGTTGCAGCCCGTCAACCTCCTCCTACATGTCTACCGGAACTTCCGAGAGCATTGCTTTTTAAGTGGTGTAATATAACCAAGATCAGATCGATAATTTGATACTCAGCACGCCTAGGCGTTGTATGGATTATATTGCATCGCCTGGGAGACATACAATGTATTAACAATCATACCAACCTTGTAATATTGGTTCTTTTGTAAATAGTTTTTTTTTTTTTTTTTTTTTTTTTTTTAATTTGCTCCAGGAAGAAAATATCGCTAATTTTTTTAAAAATATAAAACATATAGCATCTTTTTTTGCTCTTTACCTTTTGTTTAATAAATAAGCTTTACAAATAAGTCAAATTTGTTTCGCTTCTAACTCTTCCTTTGCCTGATTTTGCATTATCCTTAATTTATGGACATGAGTGTAATATTCTTTCAAGTTATTATGAATATTTGATAATGCGTTTTTATGAAGTTTAATTGAAGAAACGAATGGCATTTGATTTTGATGAAAATGAATTTTCTTTTGAAATGTCTATTACTTTGAAGAATTAACACTTTCGTTTTCGAATTTGATGCATATATTTGCTTATTTCTTGTGATGCATACATTTTGCAAGGACTATAAAATATTATTTGAAGTTAAAACGTATTTGAAGTTACTAATTCTGATATCATATCGTAAAGTGAAATTCTATTTTCTATTCTTAACATCTTTTTATATGTTTGAAGATATATTTGAAGATATATTTTACAATTTGTTTGAATCGTATGTTCACAATTTCATCTAAGATTTTTGAGTGTTTTAACATCATAGTTTTGTTTAACATACTGAAAAGAAATTAAGATTATTGTGAAAATGAGAAAAAATTAAGAATATGTATCAGTGTGATAATTTCTCAAAACAGACAAGTAATATTTATTTGATGAAATCGAAACATACATATTCTGTGAATTTGATATTTGGTAAAAGCGAAACTTGTAAATAATGGCTACCCTTTAACGACCATCCCAACAATGCGACGGTCATTGAAAACTGCCAGTACCCAGCATATCAAGCTTTAACATCTTTTAGTTTTTGACCCAGATGGTGATAAACAAAATTGTGCTCGCTTACGTACATTTTCCGAATTTCCCAAACCATTTAACTTTGATGATACGAAACAAAAAAATCATAAAAGAATTTTCAATCACAGATTTAATTACCACATGTATTTTACTGAATTTAGAATTTTCTACCGGTATTGAAAAGTGTGCTATTACATTTCTTACAAATCTTGCTGACGTCTCATTATTAAAATCAGAATGTATCTGACCTTGGCAATGACGAAGAAGGTTTGGTACAAAGTTCACCCTCAACGCACAGCCTCGCCGAAACGAACATTAATCATACTCCAGATGAATCTTTATGTAAAGAAATGGAGGTGAATATCTCTCTCGATAGTGCGCCTGGAAATGTACTGCTTTCGACTAACCCGTAAAATCAGAGTGTTTCATTTCAATGTTTTGGTTTGAAGGACATTGTTGATTTGATTAAACCCTTTTCCTCTCGAGATAATTACAGCGTTGATTCAGCCATTGATGACATTTTTAATCTCTATCACATAACGAATCCTGTTCACCAAGTAATTTTTTTTTAAATGTCTTACAGGTCCAGCTTTAGCTTTAATAAAACCAATTCGTGGAATTACTAATTGGGAATAATTTAACATCGAAGCTTTTTTTCAACAATAAATGAATACTTTTTATTTTAATGGCGGGCACTAGTTATTTCGACAACTAAAGCCAGAAGTGGTAGTCATTTTATTATGAAGGCACCTAACAGGCGACCAGCGTTACCTCCTATGGGGGGGGGCAGAGAATTTACATCCATGCCTATTCTGCGATTCGAACTCGGGACATTCGGTAATGCAGTCGACTACCTTAACCACTACACCTTCTGGCCTGCAGCAGTATATTCTAAAGTATAAACTCATTCTAAAGTACTAATTGAATACTTTAGAATGCGTTTATTAGCCTCTAGAGTCTGTGATACGTAATAGTTTATTTTGACGCCTAAATGAACATAAGGCAAACTACTGAAAGGTTGTGGCGCAGTGAAATAAACTTCAAGACGGCACTGACCGTAACCAATTATTTAATTGAATTTATGTTGCGGCAGCAGCGTCCTAAAACGTACATATTTTCAGACATTTTAAATGATATTCATGCGTCCTCGTTAATCTTAATTCGTTAATCCTTATATATATATATATATATACAGCCCAAAAGGGACGTTTGTCCCGAATGGGATATTAGTCATATCACTGAACAATGATTTTTTTTCTCCTGGCGCCTGGTCAGGAAGCCCTATCCCCACCTAAGTAAAAAAATTGAAGGTTGCAAGAGGCAATTATTAGCATTTCAGGATGGTCTGCAGGGAAAAACATGGAGGTCGATGTAACGTGATGCTTCAGCAGTGGAAGTCGAAGCTCGTCTGAGAAGCGATTGGCTGTGGAGATTAAAGAATATGTATTGTTAAAGAATTAAGCCTTCTCCGCAACAGGAGTTGCTCCGTCTCAACATAGAGGGAAACAGCTGAGCATGCGCGAATATCTGTCGCCAAAGCTGGAAGACGTCGTCGAAGTTCGAAGGCCACGTTTAACAAGAGTTCATAAAACGAATTTCGTTTTAAATTTCTTTAAACTTTGAAAGAAAAGAAAATATTTTTCTCGCAACTAAATTAATTAATGGATTAGTTATTTTGAGCAAAGAAAGAAAGTACGAAAATCCGAGTTTAAATTATCTTCTTAACGTGTTCCTCAACTTCCTATACACATCGCGGTGGGGGAAATTCTCACCGCCAGGTTCCGGCGCCATATTCCTCTATTTTCTAGCGAAATAATAGCAAACTGCTTTAAATTGCGTCTGTGGAACCTTTCCTTCTTTACATAGTTCTTTGGTGGAGAGATGGAGTTAGTAGGCAGATAACTTTACAGTTCATCGAGCAGGAGGCTTTTGGTCCAGATGAAAACTGTTTGCTGGAATAAGCGTGAGTTTGGTCACATGAAAGTAGGCGGGAGGAGACTCTTTTCATTGCCACATCTTTTTCCGCCTTAAGTTAGATCACTTATTTTTTTATTTTTAAGTTGCTTTAATTATTTAAGATTTTTCTTTACATTTCGCACTTTACACTCCATTGCAGACTTGGCTTAAAAGTCAAACTTGGCTTATGGAGTTTTCCGAACAAAAAATTTAGGGGTAACTTTTCACTAACGCGGTCTAGCACATGTGTTGTGTTCTTAATTCTCATTTCTGTCATTTTTGATTAAAAATTACATTTTTTTTCTTTTGGCTACTTTTTTGTTGTTAAAGCCGCCACAACATATGACTTTGGACCCTTTGAAATTTAAAACTTACTCGTTAAAGGTCGAGAGATTAAGTTTACCAGTTTTAGCAACAGTGGTAAATTTAATTTGTAAGTGCGGTGGTCGCTTTAACAAGTACCGCTGTTTTAGATACAAAAATATATTACTTAACTGAGTTTTCATCAAACTGCTTATTCCACTTGTATATTATATTATTTGCAATGTGATAGCAATAATTAAACTAGCAAACTACAGTTTGTTTAACTTCAGCAATGTTAACTGTTAATGTTTAATGTTGTTTAACTTTAGCATTTTCGGTAAATCATAATGAAAATCTGCTCATATACGTATTTTAAATTCCTCCTAATGATATTTTATTAAACAAAATGAAGAAGTAATGCTGCATGTTTAGACGCAAATGGTCTTGAAAATAAATGAATGAATATCACCTTTATCTAGGATTATCTGAATGCATCAAAATTTCTGAGCCATAAATGGGCATAAAAGGCATACCTGTATTCTTGAAGATTTACCTCTTTATCAGCTAATTCAGCGTACAGTTTTCTCTGTTCTTGGCGCAATTTATTGAACTGGCTTATAATTTCATGCTTCGACAAAGTCTCGGAATTCCGTCGTTTACTTCCATTAGCCATATTAGTTTTACATGAAATTCTATTATAATTTTTTAATATAAATTAAATCCATACAGTTACAGATAGAGAAATGAAATGAAGCATCATTCTCGTGAAACTGAAATTTTGAAATCATGAAGCATAAGAATTCTGCATTCACGAGAAACGGTATAAAAGTTACAAAATTAAGATACTTTCTTTTACTTCGCAATAATCAACACGTAACTACTATGCAGTTTGAGTTTCGCTATCCATGGATGTTATAGAGATACTGATGAAAACCCTTTAATCCTGAAAAGCTACAAGACTCAAAAACAGAAGCCAATGACTGGTTTAAACTGTGGGCGAATTAAAAGGAACATCCCTCCTAGAAGATATCACTGATTTATCGCGCGAACAATGTTGTTGTTGTTGTTGTTGTATTTAATTATGGCAAAGCACACGAGGGCTATCTGCCTAAAGGGAGGGATGCCTTTCGTGGAGGACTTTCTAAGGGAAACTGGCTCGTATACACATATATCGCGCGAACAATGTGAGTGTCTGCTTGATGGTTAAGTTCTTGCTTGGTCACGTGAGACTAAAGCTCCAAAGAGGAGGTCGCACGGAGAAATCTTAGGGGTTGGCTGCTGAGTGATCCTGTGCAAAGATAAACTCAGCATTCAAAATTTATTTATAGTTATCCGAAGCAAACCGTTTAAAATTAATAACTCAATTAATATAAAAATGATACTTTTTCGTTAGCCACCTACTATGCTTTTTGAGGTGTGCTGTATGATGCGCTGCGTGTGTGAGTGTCGGTATGAGCATACAGTGATGGATGTAAGTGAAGGCACTTTCTCAAAAACAGAAGGGAGAAATTTTAAAATTCTTTTTTTCTTTTTTTTTTTTTTTTTTTTTTTCATCAAAACATGAATCATTTGTATAATCTTTAGAATATTATATATAGGAATGAATTGGATGTTATGAATGAGTATAAGAATAAGTTGGATATTAAGAATGAATTGGAATAATATAAGAATTAATGAAACCTCAGTGATGAAAATATCAGAATAAAATGTAGTCAATAAGTTTCCTCTGTTTGAACATGTGAATACTTGTTTTCGCCTTGACAGCCTTGAGCTTGTTTGGAATGGAATTCACTAATGTTTTGTTGCTTTGAAATTTTGTTCCATTCTTATAGGAGATGCCTAGCATATGGTCCACATTCAGTATGTCATGTTTCCTTACCCTGTTGTCAAATTATTTTCATAAATTTTCCATAGATATTTATATATATAGATATGATATATTTTCATAAATTTTCCATAGTTTCAGAAATTAAAGTCAGGGGATTAAGCTGGATGACTGAGAGTATGAGGCATATGAAAGAACAACCATAGACGGATAATAAATATGTCCTATATATTTTGTCCTGTAGGAAGTAGAAACTGTCGTATAAATGAAGCTTACGGGTGCTTTGTTGAAGATGTGTGGAAATAATAGCGGAAGAATCACATTCTATTCAAGATATATTCTAATGAAAACTCTTAAATAAATTTCAACGCCTTACTTTATATTGCATTATGATGCATTACAAAGGTACAATATAAGTATACTTATGAATGACTATTATTTAGATACTTGGTTGGTTGGTGTTGTGTCCTTTGATCAAATGGATCCATGCGTGGAAATCACAGCTTTTGCCAGTTTTACAATCATCTCAGTATACAGCTCTCCCTGGAAAGGAAATTCCCCCGGAAGCTTCTATAAATTCTATATGATATGATACCATCTTTATCAATTTTTATTCCTCTAAAATGGCAGGTTCTCAATCTACTAATGATCTTTGTTATTTCTCTGTTTGCCTCAATAAGTTAATTTGGAAGGAGTAAACCTTTTTAAGGAAAAAGAGATGTAATGTTATGTCCACAAATTTTTAGCTTACCTCTTTATTTGTAGGTAGTTCAAATGCACTCTCATTTTCTGTGAAAAGTTTTCTCGTGAAAACCCTTTCCCAAGCCAAAAAGATATTAAGTTCTGGAAAAGTTAATTATCAATTGTGAAAAATAATTTTGATCTGTCCCATGCCTTTCAAATTGTATCAAATAATGCACAAAACCTAAAATATCACTAAAATCATAAGTTGTATAAGAAATACAAAGTGCAAGTTTATTCAAATAAACATGACGGTCCATGGTGCCTTCAGTGAACTCAAGATTGTGTACACTTGCACCCGACATGCAGCCCCACACCATTACACTTTTGCTGTTGCTTGAACATACTTTTCTCGATGCTCAGTTTTAGGTTGTATCCAAACTTCCATTGCAAATACCTCCCATTGTAAAGAATTATTGAGAATTTGTTTTCATCAGAAAATAATGCATTCAGCTACACTACCTTTATTCAAATACTCACTTTCAAAAGGGAGTATTCCTTTTCTTTCGATTAGTTTTGCTGATTTGTGGTTTTCTTCTGATTTGTAACCCTAGATGTGTAACCAGTCCACTGAGGAATTCTGTAGACACAACAAGAATATAAACACGGGTTGGAAAATTAAAGTGAACCTCTCTGAGAATACGGCACACCGAATTTCAAGCACCCCTACGGCAGCATAGCATATAATTTATGTTTTCAGCAGTATTGGAGGTATTGACTTCAAACACTAAGAATCATAAGACATAAATTAGTCATATACCATAATTTTAAAGCACATCAAATATGTGGTGCTCGGCTGGCTGGTGCGACTTTTATCAATATAGCAGGTCTTTGTCACGTATTGAAAGGCACAGTATGTCACGTATTGAAAGGCACAGTAATGGCCAACCCGCCAGGTTTTAACTTGTGGCCCGTGGAGCATAGTCCTAATAAAAATATTTTAGTGTACAATACACATTATAAATAAAATAACCATCATATCGCGCGAATTTTTCGTTTCGTCGCAGGATGGAGACATGTCATGCAGTGTTACAAAACTAAGAGTCAGATAATCTGCGGCAACATCGAAACGTTATGGGGCATGTAGTTGCTCTTTTTCTGCACGTTATCACCACGTTCCTCGTGAGAATAGAAGAATAAGAATAGAAGTTGCTACAACAGAGTAACGTGTAATGTATATCGAATCCTGTTTTCGCTTTTAAGTACAGCGAAAGTAAGCAAAAAAAGTGGTTATATACTATATGTGTACATATATATATGTATGTCATAATAAAAGCACAAGGAAAAGCCGGAGCAGTGTCGATGCGTGATTAGACCCATATTGAAGAAGAATTTTGATTGCGTAGTATTTAAAGAACTTGGCAGTCGAGGCAGTTTTAATTCCATTTTTATTTCCAATTGATATTTGTGGCCACAATCACTTGGCACTCTAGTTGTGCCTTTCCACAGAAGATTTACATTTTTGATATTGCTGAGATAGAAAGCAAGTCAGCGAAATTACATCTTAGCAAAGTAGAGAGCAAAAGCTGAATTGCGCTGAAGGATGGAAGCACGCAAAGAGAAAAGTTTTGGGTTACAATTCGGTGATTGGTCGTCAAGAGGCATCTGGTATTAACGGTTACGTAAGATCGCATGATTAATTTGAATGACGCAATGCAGATAAGTTATTACGATTTTAGAATAGAGAGGAAGAATTAATGTTTATAGTTATATTATAATTCTGATTCATACATTTTTTATCTTACATATTTCCTCCCTTCAAAAGAAAAAGGCGTTAGCGACAGAGAAGCCTTTTTAAAGAGAAAGAGTTAAAACACTAGCAAATGTAAAAAAAAATAATAAATAAAAAAAAAAATCATAAATTTTTGTCCTGTAAAGTATAATTTATAAATATCATTTTTTTTAAATAAATTTTTAATTTTTAGAGTCCTATTGAATTTTTTCAGCATTTCAGTCCAAAAGTCTTTTGTTTGAGAATTCACATAATCATAATTCTTCAGGGAAGGGTCTTGTTATTACAGAATATCAAAAAAAAAAACTTTTATATAATCATTACTTATAATTAAATGCAATAATCTTTATGATATTAATTTTCATATTGATAATTATATTTTAACATCATAAATATATTAGGAGGAGTAACAGTTTCCAGAAATTATGGTTTTTCACCGTTATTATTTTCATCTACAATTCCTTATTTTACCAAAACTAGAAAGCCTCGCAATACTAAACAAACATATCCATCAATAGGGCTGCCCTCTTGAGCTAACCAGTATGTTCTCTGCACTGGTGGCCCAGGGTGCCTAGACAGTTACTTGAAAAGGGCCTCCGTTCCTTGCATTAAGGTAATGACCTTTGAGAAACTGCACTAATACATTCCGTAATAAAAAAAATATAATAATAATAATAATAATAATAATAATATAAAAAAATTTACATGCCATTCATAAAATGAGAGCTCCAAGATTATCTTGCATGAAGAGGGTAAAAGGAACAACTGTACAGAGGTAATTACAGGCCTCTGTTGAAGGAACCAGTACACACTCATCATACTATACTTAACACACAATAACCCATAAAATTTTAACATGTATTTACCATAATTTCATATATTACTTATCTGTACTAATTTCACTTATTTTAACATCTTTATTTTTAGAATAATTATGAAAATTCGTATTCAAAATTCTCAACAAAATTTAAAAAAACATAAAAAATTATCTTAACATCCTTCCCTATGAATAATTTAAATAGCTTAAAATTAATTACTTAATTTGCTCACACATAATTATGAAAAATTAGAAAAATTAAATGAACAAGAATTTCAGATTTTCTCAAAGCAAATTGCAGAAATTTTAACCAAAGTTGAAATGAAAACTACAGAATCCGCAGCACATTAAATAATTTAGTTCCTGAGCTAGATTCACACGAATGTAATAATTTTTGAGCTGTTGAAAAAGCGGAAGTGCAAATAATTTTCTGTCGCACATACTTGCAAACACTAACTCGGATCGACCTTGAACCCGCTGTAATGCTGAATTCCTAAACGGTAATTCACTGATGATTTCCTTTTCACTAGGCATTCGGACTTCTCGATTTATCGAGAGATTACTTTCAATCTGTAAACACTACA